CACACAAGAGCAAAAATATGCTTTCACACAAGAGCAAAAATATGCACAAGCCAAGTATTTCAACATTTGACTCCGCGCCTCTCAAGCAATACGCTTATCCACTAACCAACCAGCCGTGTCCTGGTCAGTTATCGTGTCAAACTTGTGCAAACACAGCAGAGAACAAATGGTCGGTAACTCTCTTCAGAAAACCGTTCCGCGATTCCCGAAGTACATTTGAGTCCAGGCGCTCAAGATACGTCCATCAGTACACATTTCATGGCGAATGGCCATATCAACCTGTTGGGGTTAAAATGTAAGGAATGATGTAATGCGTGTGACTTGGATGCTGTTTTTAGGTGACAGGAAGTGATTTCAGCCTATAAGATTCGATAAGAGGCGTTAGGAGGGAATGGTCGCCGTATTCATAATAAGGCTGACAGCATCATCCGGTTGTTTATTCCAATATATGGTATAGGGTACGGGACAGGAACATTATTGACGACTGACAAAATCTATAAACTCTGATAAAACCCGATAAGGGGCGTTAGAAGGGTAAAGTCACCGTGTTAGCAGGCGCATCAGAGCCAAAGCATCAGAGAGGGCTATAACCGCTGAAAGCAGTTGATGAGGGGTGGAGCTTTTCACCACCACATTACAAAGATCTAGTGACAGGGACGCTGATGGCTTCTTACCTCTATACTGCCAAGTATCAGAGGCTAATTTTGAGAACAGTTTCATTTAGCCATTACTTTTCTGATAGCAGTAGAAAATGGACTCATTCTACTGTCCTATTACATACTAGTCGACTCGCCGGCTGACGCCGGCGCGCCTCCTTCTGTGGTACGGCCCGGCTTCGCCGCGCGTACCCTTCTTTTACATGTTCAGCACAGCACTATTCAGCAGTTATTCGGCTTCTCTTTCAACTGTACACATGTTCAGCGTTCCTTGACCAATAACATCATACCTGTTATTTACGACACTATTACCGTCTATGAAATGCCGGTAAGCAGCGTTGATCAGGTGCAGATGATCAGATGCAGGTGGGAGAAAAGTTCTTACATTAATGAGCATTCCTACTTGTATAATCAGGCCATGTGGTTATGCTGTGTGTGCTATGTCAGTGCTGTGTGTGTGTGTGTGTGTGTGTGTGGTGTGTGTGTTTGTGTGTGTGTGTGTGTCTGCCTGTTTGTCACGAAAGTCATAGCCACCTGAAAAAAGAGCTTGGCGGGGTTCGCGGTACAGGTGGGAGGATAGAGCCATTGCGACAAAACCTAAATTAGACTCATGACCCATTGTAAGCCCTGCCCACAGGAGCGGGCGTGCGTCCAATTTAGCGATGCCCACTGAAAAAAGTCATAAAACTTGGTTCCGGAGCACTCCCGAGATGAGGAAACAGTGCAGTAAAGTAACAAAGGCCTGACCGAACCAAAATAGAGAAGATAGACTTTAAAAATGGGGCGGGGGTACTTGAGATGGCGTGCTTTGTAGCCAAGTTATGCGCGACTGAAAAATCTCCATACTTGCGCTACAAAGCAGGCTTCGGAGGGCTAGAAAAAAGTGGGATTAGGTTACCACTGGGTTGGCCCACCATATGGAGGAGAGAGGCCCGAAATGGGCGGGGCGTACTTGAGATGGGCGGTGCTTCCCACAAAGGTCGGTGACTCCGGTCCCCGAAAATGTTTAGGGATCGCAGAAAAGTCCATGACGAAAGTTAACGTCTGGCAACAGTCCACCATGTTTACGGCGTGCTGAGGCTTGCCTACAGTGGGCTGGGCGTGCATTTAAGCAAGAGGAACAATATAAAAAGTCGTAGTTTGGTCCTAAAGCACTGCAGAAGGTGCTAAAATGTGGATTATGGTCCCCAAGTATCAAATGTAAGGATGTGCGAGGCACTCCCGCTGTGGACGGAGCCTGCATCGAGAAGGGCGGAGCCAAATTCGGGAAGAATTCACAAAAGGTTCTAGAGCACTCCAGACAACGGGGAAAAGAAGTTAAGATCAGCGAGTGGTTATTAGTCGAGAAGCGCGAGGCACACGTTGTGGGCGGGGCGCGTCCTGAGGTGGGTGGAGCCAAAATCAAAAAATTGGCAAAACGGTTCCAGAGTACTACAGACACCTAGGAAAAGTAGTTTAAGATCAGCGAGGGGTCAACGGTTCACAAGTGTAAGCATATCTGTTGTTGTGGAGCGTGCGTCAAGGTGAGCGTGGCCAGCCTCAAAAATTCTTCAGGCGGTTCCACAGCACTCCAGGCACTTCGGACTTCTATGTGATACGGGCCGGCTTCGCGGGGCGTAGCTCCATCGCGCCTACCTACATTCGTACGATCAAATGCTCGACTGATACCCGGCTTTTCTCTCATTTGTCCACTTGAACAACGCTCCTTACCACACTCCATACACCGTAATAGTGTTGAAAAGAGCAGGTATGATGCTATTGGTCAAAGAATGTTGACCACCTGTTCGGGTAAAAGAAGAGCCTGATACTAGGCGGCTTATGAAATGTGTGGAAGGGTAAGCGCGGCGGATCTGCGCAGTATCCTAGGAGGCGCGCCGGAGTCAGCCGGCAAAGCCGGCTGGTTTACACCTAAGAAAGCGGGTAGGCGCAACGAATCCAAGCAAATCCGGCAAAACCTAGCCGTGTTAGAGAAGGAGTCGCGCATGGGTCAATCAGCGAGCCACTAATATCAAATGTAACTGTGACTTCAAGAGTATGGCGCCTTATGCAGTGAAGCGCCGTGGAAATAGGTACTTCGTGCTTGAGGTAAGCTCCACCTACTATGGATGGGTCTCAACACACAGCCATACTCTCGCTAAATGTTTCTCTTCCCCAATGGTTTTTTCCGATCTCAAACTCATTCAGATCTGAACCATGAAATTTCGTGGAACACCGCCTATTTCGGAGCCCCAATTCACGCGATGTCTCCCCCATTCTGTCTGCTTATACTTTGTGGAAATCACTGCGCTTGTCCCAGGTGCTGCTGCCGCTATGCTGCATCCGATTCTTGAATTTTGACTTCCGCCCGCCCACCTTGACACAGTTCCACCCACAATGAGCGCTCGCTTTAATAGCCGAACCCCTGCAGATCTTCACTCACCTTTCGTAGTGTCTGGAGTGCTCTGGAACCACGCTACAAATTTTTGCTCTTGGCTCCGCATTAATCGGTACACCTTTTGACATAATCCACTTTTTTTCGGTGGCTGGAGTGCTCTGGAAGCAAGCTACATACCTCTTTGTCTGGGCCCGCCCATCTCAAGAAAGACCCCCTTCCACAGCGCGTGTTCCCCGCACTTTTCAACCGGCGACCCTTCTATCGCGAGAATCGCTATTTGCTTTCTGTATAATTTGAGCAGTTTACTTTGTATTACTAAGTGTTCAAGGGCAATTTGTGCTGTAGTGGCAGGAGAAAGGAAGCTTGCGCACTCACCGTCTCCTTCTCAAGATTTTCAAGAAGCGCCAGCGTCATATAAAAGCTAAGTGATGACTCATATATCACAGGACGCCGTCGCTCATCGCAACGCAGCATTGTCTTGGTTTGTAACTGTTGCGTATAATCGTTGTTGTGTTCCTCTCTTCGCAGTATTACCTATGATACTGTAGACTCTTGATATTTTAACAGTGATCATTGTCTCACTTATATTGCCTCCGCTATCGTTCTATAAATGGATTTCCACCCCGTGGCTTGGAAGCGGTCCTGCTCAAAGAGCGAAACTGTCTCTGCCGGTGTGTATTGCCAGCTCCTCGAAGACCAGATCAACTAGATGGTACCACGCAACTACATTGGCCAACATTGCCCATCACAGTGCCAGGCTCGAAGTTATCGCATTATTAGACACTGCTGCAACCGAATCGAAACAGAGTGGTGGACTCACTCACATTATTCCTTCTACTCACTAAATGTGCGATTCCAACTATTTGGTCAATTGAAAGTGCTGCCACGTGGCGAACGTCACGACAATTTGTCGAATGTTGAAGCCAACAGCATCATAATTTTATACGCAAATTTTACTTGTTGTAAAAAGGGAGCTACTAGGTGTCCAAATGCTCCTAGCAGACGAATCATCAGTGAAAACAAACTCTTTTTATCTTAAAATAGGAATCCTGTTCTTTTGTTGGTTTTCTTTGAATAAAAGTTTCTGCGTTCTTCAATGGGATCAGCTAGTAAATACGTCCACGCTTGTTCACACCTCTGATTGCACGGCTTCGTGGGATGGGGGGGGGTGTTCGTCCTGGATCGTCCGCCAGCGCAATGGTGTGCCCTTGTTGCAAGTGTTGCGCACGGGAGCAAGAAGGGACGCTGTGAGTGGGAACCGTTGTTATTTTTGGAAACATTGATTCCGAGACGATGTTTTCAGCGTATGTGATTAGTAAATGAAGCATTAGGAGTTGAGTGGTCGAAGAACTGATGAGGGAATGAATTTTGGAGCAAGCAACATGAACGTAAGCCCATGGAGAAAGAAGTACCGAATGAAGAAGTTCGAAAGCACTTGCAATTGTGTTAATCTCAGAAACATTGATGATCTTCACACAGATTTGCTTGTCATCAAAGTGATACGAAATAATCAAATAATCCGTGTGCTCCATGAGGCTGGTTTATGATTCGTCACACTACTCAGTAAAAGAATGAAGGAATGCACGCAATGGGAAGTGAAAGTATCAGTTTGGAGAATACGTGTGCCAGACCCGATTGTTCTATCTGACCTTTTGGTGCGCATGTTCCTGTTCTCCGAATCACCCGTTCTTCAATTTCGTACTGTCCGTTGTGCTCATTTGCCGATGCTCTAGCTTCGTAAACTATGCGCATCGATCGCAGTTCCGTGCGAACTCCTAACTAATCGCGGCTTTATCAGCGCGAATGCAGGGCAATATCTTAGCGTATAATAGAACCTGCTGTTTCGGCATGTATCTAGCGCATTGTTGACACACACAGACATTTCCAGAATGTATTTTCAAAATAGCACTGTAGAGAAGTGAACATTTTCTTCACGATTTCAGCAGCCAACATACCATTTGCTGTCTATCATGTCGCGTCTCCTGCAACGCTCCACTTCCAAGATCTACTTCGGTTCCGTTTACACTACTCGTCGCGATCTTGCATCCGCGACCAGCATACATGCAGCTGGCTCTTTTCGTGCCGACTATGCGGCCAAAGTTGTTGCCAATGAACTCACGTTTCTGTGAATTGATTGTAGTTAGTTCCTTTTAGGCTATGGCTTCTCGTGGATGTTCTGTGTCCGATCAGCTACTTCTAACCAATTTTGAGGTGGGATCAGAAAGTGATTCGATCAACAGCCATTTATTTTTCAAAAGGGTGCGATGGTGCATGAAGGTATGAGTATTGCCTTCCATACTGGAAACAGTAAGCGAATAATCCCTCAAAGGAATGCAGTCGTGCATGTGAAGAAGCGCTGGAGAATTTGCTGTGTGCAATAGACGAAAGGAGAATCATGGACCTCCTTCGGGCTTTCTACCAGATGTATTCGGTCAGTCGTGAGAACTTGCATGCGATTATGTCACTTTACAAAAGCCTCCTTTCATAATTCATTTATCCTTCAAGCCCCCACTCCTTCCCGCCCCCAGGGGTCGTATGCTATACAGTCGTCATCCTTCCGCCTGATTAGGGCGATTGGAGGACCGCAGACGCGAGTGCCCCAGCGACCGCGCCACAAGTAGCAATTCGGCAGCGCGGAGCCAGCTCCCCTGCGTCTTCTCACTCCCTGTGCGCTCGACACGCGCCGCATAGTACTCTGTCGCCTGCCCATTGACGGCTGGCGCGGCGAGCGGCTGATTATCGGCTTGATGGAGCCGATTTTTTCTTCAAAATCGCCGTCTTTCGACCGTTTTCATGAGGTGAGTTGCTTTTTTTCACTAACTCGATGGACTATATCACTATCTTGCTTTTTTTGTTGTTTTGGTGTAATTTTTGTTTTTTACATGCTTTTTTCGCTACTGTTTTCGCTTTTTAGGTTTCCTCTGTTTTTCTCCTTATTTATTTCCCCCCTACTTGGCTCCTTTTTCATTACTGTGTCACTGATGTGTTCCTGTCTTTGCTAAGAACACTCTTTGACACGGTTGAAGACTAGAGCCGCTTTTATACCCGTGTTCCTCAAGCTGCCCGTAAATAATGCCGGCTGGTGAGTATTTCAATTATTTTTTGTTTATTCTTTCTTTGTATGATGTATTCTTCATTACTATACCATTGTTGTGTTCTGTGCTATGCGAAGAACACACCTTGGCATGGTTTTGGAGCTTATGTTTTTTTTTAAATGAGCCTTTTTCATGAATTGTGCTAGTGCCCGTTATTTGAGGCGGTCGGTGAGTTTGTTTCGCTTACGGAGCGCAATAGACTTGGTATACAAATCAGAAGTGAGTCGCTACACGTTGTGCCTCGGTAGCATAGTGGGTAGTGTTCCAGAATCAAGTATACGAGGTCAAAGGTTCGAATCCTTGGTGGACGTGTCTTTTGCATATTGAAGGCGAGAATGGTTCAGTTAAGAAAAGCCCTATTCATAGCATCTCCTAATCATGCTAGGCTGTGTTAGAACCTTCCAGAGAGCACTGCTGAAAAAATGCAAAAGAGCACGTCCACCAAGGATTCGAACCTTTGTCCTCGTATACTTGATTCTGGAACACTACCCGCTATGCTACCGAGGCACAACGTGTAGCGACTCACTTCTGATTTGTATACCAACTCTATTCGCTCCGTAAGGAACACACAAACTCACCGACCGCCTCAAATAACGGGCACTAGCACAATTCATGAAAAAAAGCTCATTTCAAAAGAAACATAAGCTCCAAAACCATGCCAAAGTCGCAGAACACAACAGTGGTACAGTAACGAAGAATACATCATACAAAAAAAGGATAAACAAAAAATAAATTGAAATACTCACCAGCCGGCATTATTTACGGGCAGCTTGAGGAACACGGGTATAAAAGCGGCTCTAGTCTTCAACCGTTCAGAGAGTGTTCTCAGCAAAGACAGGAACACATCAGTGACACAGTAATGAAAAAGAAGCCAAATAGGGGGGAAGAAATGAGGAAAAAAAACAGAGGGACCCTGAAAAGCGAAAACAATGGCGAAAGTATTTAAAACAACAAAAATTACACCAGAGCAACAAAAAAAGCAAGATAATAATATAATTCATCGAGTTAGTGAAAAAAAAGCAACTCACTTCATGAAAAACGGTCGAAAAACGGCGATTTTGAAGAAAAATTCGGCTCCATCGAGCCGATAATCAGCTGATCGCCGCGCCAGCCGTCAATGGGCAGGCGGCAGAGTACTATGCGGCGCGTGTCGAGCGCACAGGGAGTGAGAAGACGCAGGGGAGCTGGCCCGCGCCGCCGATAGATTGCTACTTGTGGGTCGCTGGGGCACTCGCGTCTGCGGTCCTCCGACCGCCCTAATCAGGTGGAAGGATGACGACTGTACTTCCCCTCCGAAGGAAAGGTTCCCCCACCGTGTATGCTACACTTCCCCCGAAGGCCCCGGGGAAGAGGCTGCGCTCACCAAATCAGGGGAGATTCTTCTCTAGTATATGTGTGATTGAGTATAGAGCGTTGAGGATTAATACTTGCCCCTCTATTCAAACTATATTGTGTGACATTAATATGACACACGCCCTATGAATTTAGTTTTGTAATCTGCATCATTCATTTCAATAGGATTAGCCATAGTANCCGGGGCGGGACTCACCACTTTGCCCCTCCCACGAGCTCCTCAAATCCTTGGACCACATCCTAATTGCTTTGCAGTTTTCAAGTGAGTGTGCTTTGGGTTTTTCAATGTACATAGACCATTTGGATAATTTATGACGCCTAGCGCTCTCCCACGCGCATCTCGGAAGCATTTCGTTAGTTCCTAGTAATTTCTTACTTTGGTAAGACCTGTATACCCTATCGAAGCTCCATCCGAAGATCAACGGAATATTCCGCAGTTTCACAAGGGTTGATTGGGCCTCCACCGGAGCTCTGCGGTGGAAACTTGCAAACTGCCCCCACCAAGCCGAAATGCGCCGAAGAAGCAGTTATATCAAAACAAAAATCAAATATCGAACAAGAATGTTTGAATCTACTAGTCTAAAGAGGTGGAGCACGCCCAAAATTCCTGTCTTATTGTCCTCATCACTTTGGCAGAATGGGAATACCTCCTACTGCTCTTGAGTAAGCTTCGGCGCTCGCCGCCACAGATCTTACCACTGCTCACCACGTCTTATCTGTGGGCTTCTTGCAGCATCGTCAATAGCAAAGGTTTCTAGTAATCCTCCGGTACTACTCTAAGCTAAGATAAGTGGTCAGATTACTGTCAAAGTATTGAAAATCCCTTCGGATATCCTTCAACGAATGTCTTTTGGTGCTGATCATACTTCGGACCTTAGCAACTTTGTCCAGCCGAAGACACTTCCCTGTTACGCTGTAATGTTACCAGCCACTTTTTTCCTATTGCCCATACTGGAACTAAGTTGCGCAGTTTGAGAACGGAAAACGTAATGGTAGAGGCAGGACTAATAGGAGAGAAAAACGTGGCGTTTCTTATGCTAGGTGCGACAGATTCAGCCACCCTTTCTTCTAGAGATTCTCTACATTGGACCTTGTAGAAACTGTTTCGTCTAACCACTATTTGCAAAAGGTCCTAAAATATCAAATGATCAATATGGTTTCCCTCTTGACCTTTACCAATGCTCCATTTAGTCTGAAAATGGCTTTATAATAGCAAGACAAGTCATTGTAGTTGATCGTCATGAGTCCTAGCAAAAGATCTTCCGAAATGTCAAAGCTATGGATTCCAAAGGCTGAATGTACAGAAGACCCTTCCCCCGAATTTGCGCCAGCAAACTCTGCGTCGCTATCTCTTCAGGGATCCCTTCGAATATAGCGTACGGCCGCTCTGGGGGACGTCTCTCTGGGGTGTCTTCTCCCAGAGGGGACGCTTTCCCTCAAGGGGAAGTATAGCATAGTGTTAGGAGTGTCCTTGACACTCATACGGACACTTTAGAGACACCGCAATGGAAAGGGGGTGTAACAACCGAAGAATAGATAGAACCATGCAAACAAAATCAAGAAATGAGCGAAAACACTCTCAAAATAGCTTAATTGGCAAGGAAAAACGATCTAACTAGTCATGCCTGAGATTAGTGGTAATAAAATCATCTTAGCTCATCATTCTGACTATAAGTAGGCAAAATAGCAGTAGTAATTAGTTGAATATCGGCTGGAAACAGGTGCAGCCGTCAATGCAGGCAGCGTGTAGAGAAGAAGAGGCGCGGTATCATGCAGAGAGGAGGGAAGAGAGCCACAGAACAGCGGTGACTGCTGCCCCGCCATGGCGCTGCATGAAACCGAGATTGCAGCCGCCGTCGTCGCGTTCCGGTGAAGTCCGCAATTTTGCCAACCTCGTCAGGGGGATCAGAACTGTATCTGCTGATGTTCGTACGCGACTGGGCTAAAATAGAGGATACACACCCACTCGATCAGTTCTTCGGGAACACCGTGCTGTCGTGAGGCGTGACCATATTCTCACGCGGGACACGATCGAATGCGTTCTCTAAATCAAAGAAGGCTAGATGGTTGAGCTTCTGCATCTCGCGATGTTTCTCCACCACGAGACGACCGCAATGAATGACATCAATGGTCCACGGCCGGTCACGAAGCCGCACTGGTTGGTAGAGAGCTGGACTATATCAGAGACATGATTGTCAAAAAGTCGCTTGAAAATTTTTATGCTATGCAAAGGCACGTGAATCGTGCGATAATTAGGCGAGCAGGCTGTGAGACTGCATCAGGGGATACTAGCAGTGTGACTTCCATACTTCGGCCGCCACGTTGTCAGGGCCTGTTGCCTTGTCTGACCCCATCTTCTCGGTAACCGCCTCAGTTCCTTTCATGGTTATCCTCTGAACAGGACCATGCATTGGTCAGGCATGAGGTATGGCTGATGTGTATATTCTACTAGAGATTCCTCTCAGCATCTTCTTTCGGTCCATCAGAACCCTTGCCCCTTGTAGTCTTTGATGTCAACGAACTTCTTCACGTCTTTGGTCTGGCGGTGACGAAATGAGCCTTGGCGAGTCGCTAGAGGTGCCGTTTGCCATCGCGCGCCCCCAGCTTCTTGCAGACGTCTTCAAAGTAGTGGCTTTCGCACAGCCGCAGCCTTCTTCTCATTTCTGGCATCTTGGTACCTACGTCTCCAAAGTACAAGTGAGCGCCTCTTTTTCTCGCGAACATTTAGTCTGACATTGTCGCTAACAAACACGTCTGTTTGTCAGTTCTACACCTTCCAGGCTTCGTTGCGCCGAGTTCTGAGCGAGCAGCCTACTATCGCAGCGACAGTTTTGACGGTTCGTAGCCGAATACGAGAAATAAGGCTGCCTCCTCCTCCTTCGAATGCCACCATCTGGTTCACTCGGTACCACATTGCTCGATCTGTTTCGACATTGGCGGTGCGATATTTGGCTTATAAATCAGTAGGCGATGTTGCGTAGCAACTGTGTTATAAGGCACGAGCTTTGCGTCTGTAATAAGCCCTTCAGCCCTTCGAGTG